GTACAAGTTCCGTTTCCTCTGCTCTTCGCCACCTCTTTTTTCTCAGCCCTCCCCGGAGAGATCAGCCCCATTGTAGGAACCAGGTGGGTGTGAGGCATGGTCCCACGGCACAGAGGTCTGCAAACCAGGGCTAAAGCAGCACAGCAAGTCAGAATTGCTTTCAAAAGCCTCATGGGGGGCGCCTGGGTGGCTCAGTGGGTTAGGCCTCTGCCTTCGGCTCAGGTCATGATCCCAGGGTCTTGGGATCGAGCCCCACATCGGGCTCTCTGCTCGGCGGGGAGCCTGCTTCCTCCTCTCTCTCTGCCTGCCTCTCTGCCTGCTTGTGATCTCTCTGTCAAATAAATAAAATCTAAGAAAAAAAAATCGGACTCCCCCTCTGATTTGAGAACACGCTTCTTTAATCACAGGGGTTGGAAATTACAAAAAAAAAAAAAAAAAAGCCTCATAGTTTGCCTTCGTCAAATGAAAGCCTACGCATTAATGCAGTGAGAAAAAGAGGCTCCCAGGAAAGGAGACCCTGGAACCATCCGAGTCTCAGAACCTTCAGCAGCTGCTGGCCTTGGCCTTGGCGTTCCGTGAGAGACACCTGGGCTTGAGGGATTCCTGGCACCCGCACACGCCCCAGCCCCTGCACGGAGAGGGTCCTGGCTTGACCCGGGCCCGGCAGAGGCTGCGGCCGGAGGGGCGTCCCCATCACACGCAGCTTGGAGCAGGCAGCGTCCCAGGTGTCCCGGTGTTTCAGCCCGATGTTTTCAGAGAAAACAGCAACATTTAAAACATGGCCAGAGAAGAAGTTAAGCAAGGGTTTGTGTGGTGAGAAGCATCGGCCACAGCACTAACCCGGAGCCTTTTGTCCTCACCAGCCAGGCAACGCTTCCAGAGCACCCCGGGCTGCCCCGTCAGAGGCACAGACCCGAGGCCATGGGAGCCTCTGAGCCTCTCCTCATCGCCACTGAAAAGCCAGAGTGAAACACCGACATCCTGAGAAGCATGAGGGCTGAGGTGGGCTCAGGTGAGTAAGAGGAGGAGCAGAGGACGTGCGGGCAACCCCTCTCCAGCACTGAGAACGGTCCCCCAGTGTCACTGTATTCTCAACTGTGACCGCTGGGAGTGTCCCAGGGAGCTGCTTACCCCAGACAGGAGATTTCTTTCAGGGTCCCTCCAGCTCTGAGGGACTCCGAAGGTGGAGTGCGAGAGAGTCAACCAGGTGTTCCCCAAATCACACCCCTGCTGTCCTTGTCACCAGCTTCGGCCATTCTCCTTGGACTCAGACTGAGGGAGCAAGAGCCATCCGAGGGCCACTGCCCAAACCCATGGGGACAGCACGGCGCCCTCACTGCGAAGCCAGGCAGCTGGAGGCTCGGGGCCACCTGTCGGGAATTTGGTAACCAGGGGCTGGGGACAGTTGACATTAAGTCATAGCAGGCATAGAAGCTGTCAGACCTCAAGTGAGGCCTCCATGTCTATCATGCAAACGTGATTGGTCGGCAAGCCATTATTTTATTTAAAGCTGAGCTTCTGTATAAGAACTAACCAAACGCCCTGCAGGTCAGGGGACTGTCCTTGAGGAACGACCGGTGGTCCCTTTCAAACTCCCGCCCAAGTCCCCTGCGCCACCTGATAACGGCCTCCACAATTATAGTCAGAGAATGAAGGGCGTCACCAGATCTGGGGAGCAGCTCTCCTCAAACTTTCGGGGTGAGCCAGAAATCTTGGGGACAGGGGCAGCCTTAGACCCAGATACCCTGATTGTAGACCTCAGAATGTGCATTTTGAAGGAGGCTCCAGAGGATTCTGAAGCAGGTGTCATGGACAGCTCAGGGGAAAACACCATTGCAAGGTTCTCAGGGTCAAGCAATCTTGTTCAGAGTTACCTGGATGCCAAGTTTGGAAAGTCACACCCACCCCCTCTAGCCTTTGTTTCCAAGACCCTGCTTTATGGGGACCTGAGCGTTCTTCCCTTAGGACTGGGTCTAGGGCCAACTCCCCACAGTAGTTACAGCCCAGGCTGCTTGTGTAGAAGTAGTAATCATAATCATAATCTTAATCATGAACAGCTTAAGGTTCACGATTTCAGTGCACGTTCTATGGGCCGGGCACACGGCTCTTGACATAAGAGATAAGGTTCCTTCAGCTGATGGAAAAGATGAGAGAAAATCTGTCTTTGGGGAGTTACAATAAGTCGAGGTGCCTTTGATGCCTGTCAGGGAATGCCTCCTTGCGCTCTGGACTGGTCCACCCCACACAGGGCCGGGTCTGCAGACCCTGCCAGCCCCCCTTCTGCTCTGTCCTTAGTCTTAGGGGGCTCCCTTGGGCAGCATGGGCCACTACAGGGCTGATTCAAATGGCTAATGTGGATTTAAAATCATATATTTCAGAGGGAAACTTTTGATCTGTGCATGAAACCCACCAAGTTCCAGACTCTCCTGGCCTATTTATCTCATCCAGTTCCCTCGAGAACATTTATGTTCCATTTCTCGAGACAGGAGATGAAGGCAGACAGTAATTACCTCCTGAAGTCACAAAACTAGCCAGCATGAGAAGCAGAGCCCTTACCCCGGGCTCTAGCTCCAGGCTCAGGAGCCTTCCTTAGGCACAGCTGACTTCAATTCAAAAGCCCTGTCAGTCTGCTTGTCCCCACACCAGAAGTAAAAGGAGGCTGGGCTAGAGAGAGAAGATAGTTTAAGGGGGAAACTGTGAGAAAATTCACTGCTCGCTGAAAACCTACGCAGATGACAAGCTGCTTTGGAACAACGTCACAGGAGATGATCCCACGTGCCATGGTGAACGTACTAAATACCGACAAAGCAGTGTTTGTTGATTATATTATAGAAAAGCGAGATTTTGCAAGGGTGTGAAAGTGTTTAAAACACAGAAACCAAACCACCAGAGATATTTTCGGAGTCTGCCGTTTCATGGAATTCTCCAGGTGGGCTGGGAAAGGGGCACTTGTGTGTGTGCGCATGTGCACATGTGTAAGAGTGTGTGTGTGTGTGTGAGAGAGAGAGAGAGAGAGAGAGAGAGAAGGGTGGTCAAACACAGGGAAAACGGATAAAACTGCTCCTTTTCAGCAATAAGCACACCATTGAGTGGGTAATTACATGTTGCATCATCTCTATGATAAACAAAAACATTTGTTTCCATTTTGGTCTGAATGAAAAGGAACATTTTCCCTTTCCTGAGCCAGCTTTGCTGCCCGGTCAGAGGGCTCAGAGCCAAGGCTACTGAGGGCTGCAATCCCAGGATCAGCCCGCCGGAGACTCCTTTGCTGTCACGTTGCAAAAGCCAACTGTTTTGGGACACAGCCTGCAGAGCCCCTGCCCCTCCCTCCATCGCTTGCCCTTCATGTCACACCCGATTTCATGGCAACCTCGCTCCAGACAGAAGCTGACCAATGGGTTCGCAGGGTTCCAAGACACTCTCCCCCTGCAGAAAGAGCCCTGGAGACATAGGAGTCCCCGCTCAGTGGACAGAATCCAATTCTCTTCCTGTAGAATCTACTAGTCCAAGGGCAGAGCATCAGACGAGTTCTAATGTACCTTCTGCCACAATAGGGACTGCCCTGGCTTTTTCTTCCCACCAATGACTCCAGATGCAGAGTGAGTCATTCACACACATGACTAGAGGGCCCTTGGGAAACTCTGGCCATGGTGACAGTGAGGGCAGGATGGCAGGTGACGTGGGCACTCAAACAGGAGTGCTAGGGAGTCACAGAACCCAGAGCTTTCCGGGCTGTCGACTTTCTCTCCCCGGAGACGTTCCCAGTGAGCCCAGGGAGGGCCCAGGGTGGGTTCTGAAGAAATGCATCCAAATGAACACAGGCACGCCATTCCCCTTTGTCCACCCCGGGAAGGTACTGGGCGAGGAAAAGAGAAATCGCTTGGAATTTGTCAATCTGTGATTTTTTTCAACTTCACATCACTTTGTCTTCTCTGATTTGTAAGCCATCAACAATTTCCTTCTCATCTCCTCGCATCTTTCTTGACTTACCTTTGGGGGGACCAGCTGGTGACCTGTGGTGCACCTGTCACCACCCCACCCAGGTGCGGAATAGAACTGAGCTCCCTCCCGGCAGAGCCTGGCTGGCTCCCCTGGCTTCACCCGCCTGCCTGGGCAGGGACCGCAAGGACCTTCATGGGGCCTCCACTGTCGGCATTTCAGGGACAGGAAGGAGCTAGCCTCTGACTCCGCCCGAAGCCAACGCCTGACCTTCCTGACCTTGGCACCCACGCTGCTTCAGCTTCTCTGAGACAGAAGGCCGATGCGCTGAGGTGAGCATTAAAGTGCTCCCTAAAACACAATCTATAAAATCAATGCGCCTCTCAAAACGAAAACTGCTATCTGTTGTCCTTACCCATCCTCTCATGACAAATGACGTTTCCTAAAGATGCAACTTCTGGTTTTTATTGTATGTATTTCCAGATTCCAAATTCCAGCTCGGCCGATTGTCCCAGAAGGCACGCTGGGAAACCCCCTTCCCCTACCCCAGAGCCTCGCACACTCCCCTGCTCACACTCACACGGCAAGCACACGCCGGGACAACTCACACTCACGTGCACGCTCACGCACACACACTCATGTGAGTGTACCTGTGCCAACACCTATACTTGCTCGTGGGCACACACACGTGCACGTTTTGGAAGGTGGTGACGTGGGCAGGGAGGCGAGCTGGAGCTCCCGGTCTCACGGCGAGCACCAGCACCTTCTGCACAGTAATGGCCCCTCTGGTCCGCGCTGCTCCCTGACGGAGAGGCTCCAAACGGGAACCGCTCTGTGCCCGCCTCCCTCGTGTCATCTTTAAAGGGGTGACGGCCCGAGGCAGGTGGTAGCCCCGCAAGACAGAACGAGGCCAGGCTGGCAGGGAAGAGGCGCCCTCGCGGCGGCCGGCAGGGAGTCCGCAGACCAGCAGGGGTGCACCTGCCGGGCCGGCGCTGGCCTAGAGGAAGTTTCCTCTTTCCAACAACCTGCTGGAGGGAACCCGCCCGAGGCTACCGCCGCCGCTACTCCTCTGCGACCTGCAGTTCCCTCTGCGTGGCTCGGAGGAGGTGCCGAAGCTTCCGGAACACGTCGGGGGCTGCTCTCGGGGGGCTGCGCGCGGTGCTCTGGGGGTCCGCGCATTCCTGCACCGCCTCCCGCAGCTGCCGCTGCAGCGGGAAGGACAGGGCCGAGCTGCTGAGACTTGAGGAGAACCAGTGGCGGAAGATCTTGTCACAGATGACCTGAGGGACGGCAGACGGGGCAGTCAGTGCAGGGCCGAGAGCCCCCCACCCCCCACTGTGCCTGCAGGGAGGCCTCTTCCCGCGGGGGCAGGGGGTGTCTGGTCCCAAAGCTGCCGTCCCTTCCAGCAGCAGGACAGAAGTCCCACGTCCAGCCCTGAGCACACAGGGAGGGCCCAGTTCACCAAATACACCTCCCGAGAGGGAGCAGAAAGTGCTGATGACCCGCTGCCGTGTGAGGAGCGGCCCCTCGGCTGAGTCACCACGACCCTGAGGACTGGCTCGGCCATACGTGGGCCACGCAACGGGCAATGCCCACCGGACAGGGCTGTCCCAAGGGTCCGGGGATGCGTCGTTGGCAACCAGGATCACACACTAAGACGCATGGAGAAAAGACTGTCCAGGAAGGGACTGTCCTGGAAAGGAACCCTTTTATTTCAGGAGCAGAAGTGAAAAATTCAGCCAGCATCTCACAGCCGAGAGTTCTAACAGGACACGAACTGCCCCTGAATCCGCAGATCTCCTGAAATCCTTCCCGTCAACACTCGGCCTGTTCCCACGGCTTTCCCAGGTCTCCCATGCTGGGCAGGCTCCTCCCAGGGGCGCATAATTAATGGGCTTTATTTTTCTGTGTCACACTGTCTTGGACTCACTGAACAGAGGCCTCTGTGTTGTAAAGCTACTTTTCACAGAAGACAAGCAACGAACTTCTGCTTCCCACTCCCTGCAAGGGCAAAGATTCTTTTTAAAAACAAATTACTGTACAATATATCATTAGTTTTGATTTAGTGTTCCATGATTCGTGGTAGGGTGACTAACGTAATACAATTTTTTTTAAAAAAGGAAAAAATGCATAAGTAAATAATAAAAACAAATTACCTTAGTTCTGTTTTATTTGCTAATCCATACACGAAAATGTTCAATGTCCCCGAGGACAGACCATATGTCGGTCCTAGGTCTCCATACTGCTCCCGACTCTGGGAGCCGATCCCTTCCTTGAATATCCTTCTAGACAGAGTTCGTGCACAGAAGCCTATGCACACTTCTCCCTTCCCTTCCACTTTGCACAAAGGCGGTCTACTATACACTTCCTCAGCTTCCGTTTCCATTTAACCAAACCCCAGGGAGAGACATGGAAATGTCAGTTCTTACCGGGATTTCCTGTTCGCTTTGATGACTGCACCTCAAACGTGTAGAAGATCATAAATTATTTAACTAGTTCCCTACTGGTGGAGATTGAGGCTGTTTACTAACTTTTGCTGTTATGAACAATGTTACAAGAAATATCTTTCTTGTATGTGATTTTCACTTTGCCCATGAGAATAAATTTCTAGAAATGGAATTTCTGGGCCTAGGGGTATGTGCATTTTTTGTTTTAGTAGATATGGCCCAATCAACCCCGTGAAAGTTGTACTGAGATACGTTCTCACAGCAACGTACGATGAGAACAGTTGTCTTCCCCACGGCCCAGCCAATACGTGTGTTATCTTTCATTTTTGCCAACTGTTGGATGAAAATGGTTTAATTTGCATCGTTCTTAGCCATCGGGTGAAAGCTATTTGTGTTTCCTTTCCAGTGAATGGTCCAGTTGATGTCCTTCGCTCACATTTGTATCAGACTGTTGGCCTTCTTCATATTAATTCGCAGACACTCTTTATATTATAAGGACATCCCCTCTGGCTGGCTTTGGCTGGCTTTCTGGAGCACAGACTCTAAGAGAGAAGTTTGCAGGCAGGGATTTATTGAGGTGTGTTCCTGGGAACCATGCCTCCATGGACTTGAGGGAGAAGGAAATCTTCCGGTGTTCCTTACTGAGGCCGGACACTGGGCTTTGCGTAGACCCCTGCTCCCACCAACCAGTCCCTGAACGCTGCCACTGGCACGTGGAGTAGCCACAGCAAAGAAGGTCCACTGGGGAAGGAAATCCTGGGGGACAGTCTCTGAGCCCCGACAGCAGCTGGCACGTGAGGACCCCCCCGTCCTCTGCTCTCCTGATCTGTACCAGCAATTGCAAACGTTTTACCCATTTTCTCATTTAACTTTTAAATTTTGCTTGTATTTGGAGGGATTTTGTTTTGTTTTGTTTCCGCTATATGGACTTTTTCAAGAGAGTGAAATCTGTCGGGAGTTCTTCCTACAACCTCTGAGTTGTGTTCCATACTCAGAAAGGCCTTCCTTACTCTAGGATGGTATTTTAAATTCTCCCAGTTTTTCTCTGGTACCTTTAGGATCCTAGTTTTTGTGAGTTGATAATTGAACCCTCTGGAATTCAGTTTAGTCAGGGGTGAACTAGGAGCTACCCAGAGGACCCACGTCATTCCTCCATAACCCAGCCACCTTCTGCTGGCCTGAGAGCTACCTGTCATTATGTCGAGCTCAGAAATTTTAGAAAATTCTATTCCTTCGCTCTGTCAGTTGGGGCAGGGATTTTTTTTGAGTAAAGTTTTAAGTTAGAAAAGGACTACATTAGGAGGACATGGGGAGCCCAGCAAAGGGGTCGGCTGGCCGCTCCATCCAGGAGACCCCGATGGGGTCATTTGACTGACAACCCATGGGGCAGACGACACTGCTTCCTGCCGTCCCTGTCCCCACTGAGCATATCGAGCACAGGTAGCATGGAAGGGGTGACCTGGACCATGTGAGCGGGGTGGCCCACACAGAGGGCAGCGGCCGCCCCCAAGAACGATGTCCCCCAGCCCCCGCGGGGGCAGCCGCCTACCTGCAGGTTGCTGTTGACTCTTTCTGCTCCACACCTGTTGACGTGCAAATCACACTTGGAAAAACAGTCGAAGAAATTGCAGTCTTCGTCTCCTGTGCAGTTCTGCTCGAGAATTTCCCGCATTTTAGGTTCAAAAAAGGCCATGTCCACGTCGATGGCCACCACCTGCAACCAACACAGCACACGGCCATCAAGGGACACCGAAGCTCAGCACCGCGGGGGCTGGGGCACCCCCCGCTCCCCACTGGCAGTGCAGGTGCCTGTGGGCTGTGGGAGGGCAGAACACTGCCTGCCGGAAAGGAGAGCCCGGGCTGTGCTGGGGGCACCAGCTTTTGCCACACAACCACCTGGCATTGAGCATATTGCAAAGCTTTGGCTGCAAAAAAGGACATTTGCGGTCACTGGTGAAACCCTAGGATTTGGAACTATAACTGGAAGTATCATTTTTCAACCTCAAACACTTTCTCAGCTTTAAAAGTAGGATCTCTGAGGGGCGCCTCAGATGAGGATGGCTCAGTCAGTTGAGGGTCTGATGCTCGGTCAGGCTGTGATCTCGGGGTCCTGGGATCGAGCCCCGGGTCCGGCTCAGCACTCACTGCAGAGTCTGCTTGAGGACTCTCTCTCCCTCTGCCCTTCCCCCCGTGCTAGCTCTCTCTCTCTCAAATGAATAAAAAAAAACTTAAAAAAAATAGAATCTCCAATATGTCTTAAAAATAAATTAATCCCCTCCCCATTGCTGCATCACTTTGGTCTCTGACTTTCAAGGTTCAGCCTCATAAAAGCTGTGAGACCCAGAGAATTTACCTCCATGAGTATCAACAACGAAGAAACCGCCCTCCTGGGGCAGATCTCTGGGTGTGATGGCGACAGCAGGTGGGCAGGACCTACGCCGTCTACTTGTGGCCCGCCTGTGCCCTGAATCGACCGGCTTCCCACCGACTGCAGGGATGGAAACTTGGCTGCAAATGGCAGCCTCAACCTTCTCGCATTAGGGCTGATGCACACGGACCTGGGTCCAACAGCAGCAAAGACGAAATGCCGAAATGCCACTGTCATCAGGAGCCCACGATCGACCCCCTGGAATTCCAGATTTCTCTTCTTGGCTTCAAACCAAATAGGCTTCCAATCCAGAAAAAAAGAAGGTCTACATTATGCAGATTTCCCTCCACCGCCTGAATTTAAAAAACAAAACAACAACAAAAAGATCTCAAACTTGATAAAACCTGGATTCTGCCCAAATCAAGCAGTTCATAGCTTCTAGGTATTAAAAAAGCTTTCAGAAGACTTGATGAATTTGATGGCATCTGTGGGGTCTCACAAGCCTTCACAGGCTGTCCTCCGAGCACCAGCCCTTCCTTCTGCCTTTGGTAGCATCTCAGCAAGGCCTCGTTGGCTGGGGTCCATTTCCTCTGCAACTCAGCTGCGTTAGAAGCTACATTCCCCAGTTTGGGTTTTTGTGGTTCACTCAGGAGTGATGCCAGAGGTATCCCCCTTCCTTGGGGGATGGGTCAGTAAAACAGAAGAGGGAAAATAGTTTCTTTCAAAACATATGGAAGATAATGAACATAAAAAACAGGAAACTTTTCCCTACTTAAGAGCTTTGCCTAATGACTAATTCAGGCACAGCAAACAGAAATTACACTTTTAATCAATTTTCCCTATCTCGTTATTTAGCCAAAAGAAATAGCTAATTTCACTATTTACCATAGCTAATACACTAAAAATATATTGGGCTGTGCTCATGAATCTATTGTCCTTATAATTTATTAACAGGACCACAGGGCCTCCCTCCTTTCTATACTTTCTGGCAACCTCCCCAGCCTCCCCTGGGCCCCTACACACACTTTCCGCTCCTTGTGACTTCTCGCTCCCATTCCTGATTGTTCCCTTCTCGTCTCCCAGGGAGAGCCAGATTTATTTTTTAATTTTTAGCGTACAGTGCAGAATGGATTACGGCTATTGTAAGCATAACTCCACACACCTAAAATAAGAGCAGCAGCCGACAGAAGAACTGCCTACGGCTTCCTTAATCCTATCAGGAGAACCTAACGTTCTCCCTTCGCGGAAGGACATAACTCGCACCTTCATCAAACTCATCCCGCTTCAAACTAGAAGGGGTCGATGAGAATTGTTTCACTCCCCACTGAGACGTGTAACTCTCACATAGGACACGTATGGGATTGAAAGGAGCACGTGCTAGCCATGTTTTGGGGACACAAAGCAGTGGTGTTTCCCAGTTTTTCCTTTGCAACCGCAGATAAATTCTCAGGACCTGTAAGTGGGGCCCAGAGATAGGGAGTGACTGCAAGTCACCATGTCCCACCCCCAGAGTGTCGGACCCAGCAGGTCTTGGTGGGGAGGTAGAAAATCTGCATTTCTAACAAGCTCTCTGGTGATGCTGACACTGCTGGGTTTCATTTAAAGTTATGAAATCATAGGGCAAGTTAACTTCTTGAAACTCAGTATCTGTAAGGAGGTCAATAATGCCGGGGTTGGCCAAGGGGGACCCTCTGTCCTCCCTCCCCATTTGCCCCTGAGAAGAGGAGATGAGCTCAGGCAGAGGCGAGGGCCTGGGTGCCCCAGCACAGTCCACAGGGTCCAGTCTGGGGCTAGGTCAAAAATCGCAGCCATTGTTTCATTGAACAAATAACGTCGTGCCTATCTACACAAGATGCTGGAAGGCACAACTCTAGTGCAGTGCACAAGCCATCAACGTGCCATGTTTCCCTTTCCCCCAGCTCCTACAGCTTTTCCTGGGAACTCAGCCCAGTCAGCTTCACAATTCCCTCAAATGTTACTGCCCCTGTGGATTTCCACTCACTGACACTCCATAATACTCACTGGATGAAGAAACCGGTGTCAGATGAGCACGGGCCCCGGAACTGCCAAAGCCGGTGGTGTGAGCAGACATGCCACACCCCCTTTCCCAGGGCCTTAGTGTGCCCAGGTTCCCAGGACTTCTCTGAGAAAGAGAACGGTGGTCCTTCATGTCCTTTACATAAACTTGCTGCTCATGAATGAGGGAAGCTTGGCCAGGATTTCACCTCCAAAAAATATGCTGGTGGAGTCCTGGGGTGTCCCTCCCCTTTACAGCTTGGACCGTGTTTAGAGGTCTCGTGAAGCTAGGGATACTGCGGACGGAGCTGAATGCCTCCAGAGTGCAGAACCTTCTGGAACCTCTCAGGTCTTCCCCATCCACACTTGGAGTGACAACTGGCTTATCAATCCCTCTGGGGCTGTCAGGGACCAGGAAGGCATTAGGACAAAGCAGTTTGGGCCAGTTGCCGCAATGCTTTTTACGGTGACAAAGGCTTGACTGGGGAAGGGGGTGACCCAGGAGGCAAATTTAGTTTTCTAGATTTCAGGCTGTTTTAAGAAGGCATTCCTATGCCACCTGCTGCAAAACCCTTGGCTGGAAATAAGAGAGCCCTCTTTTTTGTCCCTTTCTGTTTTTAACCGGGATGAAGAGCACCATTCTTCCAGGACCCCGCACACTCAGCGGCCAGCCCTCTGCTGTGGCTGAGGTCAGCTTGGCCTCGCTTGCCAGCATCGCCGTTATGAGCCACCTTGTCGCAGCCTGGGAGGGGAGGACCAGGACACAGCCCGCTCCCACTGCCAACTGTGCACCCACATCTACTTCTTCTTGAGCAGTCCTGGCATTTGTCCCAGCACAGGGGAAGGACACCTGCATTCGGGCACCCAGGTCACCCCAACAATAATGCAACGCTCGGGTTTAGCCTAGCCGGGGTGAAGCGGGAGGAGGTTATCGTGCAATGAAACATGGAATTCCCTCCGGCTACTTTCCCAGCACGTTTAATTCCTTGCACACCTGCGTTGCCCAGAGTGGGAGACGGACTTCACCGACCCTCTACAGAACAGCCCAGAGCCAGACACTTCCATGCAGGCAGGTCCTTCCCCGTGCAGAAAGCACCAGAACTCCAGCTGTCCCTCTAGAATTCTCACCCAGGGAAGGGAAACTAGAACCTGTCCAGGAGGAGTGTATCAGGAAAAGCCTGCCACAGTCCTAGAGCATCGTCCAGCAAAGCCCCCAGAGCCAGCTTTCTCTGTCATCCTCTGGAGCTCCGCATCTCCTGAAGACTGCTTTCTGCCCTCAGCAAGAGCTTGCTTTCAAATTAGATCTTTGGAGAAACCAGAAGAGGCACAAGGGAGGACGAAGCTGCTATGGGTGCCTTCGTTATCATTCCCAGTCCTGGGAGGGACAAGGTACCTGTGTTCCCCAAAGTCTCTCGTTCACACCCCAAAGGAGGCGCCCTGGCAGGTCTGCCTTGTCCAGGCCAGAAGCTTGCCTAAGGTTGCAGTGCCCCCCGCCCCAGGTTTCAGAAACTGCTCCTAGATGCTCCGGCCCCCGCACGACACCCACGCCCGCCCCGCGCCACTCACCGTGTAGTCGCTCCTGATGGCAAAGTTTTCGGGCTTGACATCGCACAGGTGGAGGCGGTGAGAGAAGTCGTCCTCAAAATGGCTCACCATGTCCAGGAAGCTGAGGGCCATGTCGCTGACGGCCTTGGCCTGGCCCCGGCCGCCCCGGGCGCCCCCCCGCCGCGCCATCAAGGGGGAAGAGGGCCCGGTGGCGGGGGCTGCCGGCTGCCAGGTACTCCACGGCGTAGAAGTGGCCGCAGGAGCCCAGCACGGGCAGGGCATGCCGGCTCAGGTCCTGCAGCAGGCTGAAGAGGACGAACTCCTCCTGCTGCAGCAGGGACCACAGGCTGGCCAGCTGGCCCCGCCACCGCGGACCGCGCCCGCCTGGCCACAGGGGCCCCAGGCTGCCGCCGGGAAGCTCCAGGCCCAGGGCGTTCTTGACCTCGCCGGCCACCAGCAGCAGCAGCTCAGCCTCCGGGAAGTCCTGGGCGCCCGCATCGGCCGTGTCCTCCAGCAGGCCGAGAGGCGGGAAGCTGGAGAAGGCCTCCTCCTTGGACTTGAGGATGACGGGCCGGCCGCGCCAGTCGGCCTGCAGCACCTTCTTGCCGCTCTCGTAGTACAGGCAGCGCCGGTACAGCAGCTTCCCCGCCACGCACAGGTCCTCACAGAGGTCTCCCACCAGAGCCCCGCCCTCGTAGTCCCGGCACTGGAAGGAAGGGGACAGCGGGTCACAAGGCAGGAGCGGCCGGGCTCACGCCAGGCAGGGGAAGGGAGGAGGCAGGGTCGGTCCCTGTAATCTGTAATCAGCAGTTGAGAGAAACCTCATGGATGTGACCCACACGGGCTGTTTGCGTCAGTGGGTGATTCACTGAAAGTTAGGACTCCTCGCGGCTCAGTCGGTGAAGTGTCTGGCTTCGGCTCAGGTCATGACCTGAGGTCCTGGAATCGAGTCCCGCATCAGGCTCCTTGCTCAGCAGGGAGCCTGCTTCTCCCTCTGCCTCTCCTGTTCCCCCTGCTTGTGCTCTCTCTCTCTCTCTCTGACAAATAAATAAATAAAGTCTTTTTTAAAAAATTAAGTGGAGGGGAGCCTGGGTAGCTCAGTGGGTTAAAGCCTCTGCCTTCTGCTCAGGTCATGATCCTAGCGAGCTGGGATCGAGACCCCATCAGGCTCTCTGCTCAGTGGGGAGCCTGCTTCCTCCTGTCTCTCTACCTACTTGTGATCTCTGCCTGTCAAATAAATAAATAAAATCTTTTTAAAAAAATAAGTGGAAGTGCTAAAAGAGTGTCTCATATTTATTACATTATTCAACGAGGCCCAGGTCTTCAGAATCGGGACACTGGAGGCGAGACATGGGTCCCCCCACTGTGCCCCTGTCCAGCCACAAGATGCTGGAAAAAGCCTTCCACCAGCTGGTGACAGTTCCCTCAGCTGTCAGAGACAGGGCTGGCCAGGTCAGTAGTCATCGACGCCGACCACATGGGCAGGTCGCCCTGGGGAGCTTTGAACCCCTTCATCTAAGAATGGCTAAGTCAGATCTGGGCAGGGGGGTCCCCTTTGAGCCTCACCTGGGGTCAGAAGAGCCACAGTAACAGCCCTTCCTGCAAGCATGTTCCCGCAGCTGGGTGTCTTTGACACCGAGGGGTGCGGCCTGTAAGGCCAGCAGGTCTGGAAGGATGGCAGGGGTTCGGAGGAGCACCCTGTGCAGGAAATAGAAGAGGCTGCGTGGTCGGTCGTGTCAGCAGGACTGGAGAGAGGCACCAGGGACGCCTTTCAGAACACGGGAGCTATTCTGGAAGCACAGGGCGCCTTTGGTCCCTAGGGGCGGTGAGGATGGGTCAGGAGCCCTCAGATGGCATTTCTCCTAAACTTCAGCGGTTCTCAGAATGGGTTCCACACGAGGCGACCAGCGGCCTCCCCAGCACACCACAGACATCCTAGAAAGACAGACCAACCAGGCCCTGGCTGGTGGTCCTGCTGGGTTGCAGTCGAAGATGGAGGACAGTATACAGCAAGGGGGAAGACTGTTCCTCTGTTTTTGGTTTTAATCTGTCAGGAAAGCTAACCCCCTAGACCCCCCATCCTTACTAGGAGCTACCTCCATCTGTCCCCTGACAGGTGTGTCTTCCTTCCACATGAGCAGATGCTGACCTCCCTTCCTAGAAGTTCTGCTGCCCAGGAGATGGGGCAGGGCGTCCCCCTCGCTCCCATCAGGTGACAGACAAGGGCCTCCATGTTGTTTCCCTCACTGTCACATGCACAACAAAGTGCCCTGAGTGAACAGCCACAGCTAGAGAGCGGCACCGCGCAGACAGCAGGGACGGGGCCCAGAGTCACAGGCTGGGAGCGTGGCCGGGCTGGACGGTGACCTCCTGAGCAGACTATGCCCTCCCGCCCCGGCTCTGAGGCTTGGATTCCGTCCCTGCGTCACCAGTCTGCCTCCCTGGCTCGGTTTTCAGACCGGCCGAGTGGGAGAAGCATGTGGAAACCAGTTATTTATTCAAGTGCGAGGCGTCCCGAGATGCTGCTCCAGAAATGGGCCAGTGACATGCTCCGCAGGGACTCTGGTTGTGCCACGCTGGTCAGCTTTGCTTTGTGAGCCGCTCAAACTCAGACAACATGCTTCCAGGGCCCGGATGGAGGAACAATCCCAAAGGCCCCGAAGATCTGAAATCTACAACGATTTTGTGACCCGTGGGGCCTCACGTGGTACCAAGCCCCACTGGAGAGTCCTGAGGTGAGTTACTCAGCTCCGTGTGAACTTGAGTACACGTGCCACGGAACTGTCCGTCGCTTTGATTACTGGTTCTGTTCTGTATGCAACATGTGAGGTCTATGATCCACATTATTTTTCTAATGCCCAAAAAGGGGGACTTCAAAACCATGCCCGGCTCGAGTGTTAGCTAAAGCACTGGGGACCTTTATAAAGACTCTAGGTCAATTGTTCAAAGCACACATCACCAGAATGCTTATTAAAAAGAAATATTCCTGGTTCTTAAAACAAGTATCTGGATTTTGGGGACCATTTTAGGCAATAGCAGTCCACGCCACCTGACCCGATCCTGGGGAACAGCAGTCCATGCCACCTGACCCGATCCTGGGGAACAGCAGCCCACACCATATGACCTGATCCTGGGGCTTTCTGCTGAAGGATGCTCCTGGGAGCCATCCCTCCTCTGTGGGCTTCCACCTTCGTGTATCACACCTTGGGTGGTGGGTGTGTCGCACTGGCCAAGCACAAGGACGCAAGTGACGGAGACCTGTGCGCGGTCATAAACGCACCCGGTGCTTGGGAGGGCCAAGCTGGGCTGCCGTTTTTGTCTTTGGAAAACACACGCCCCTGATGGCTCTGTGTTAACCAACACCTAGACATCTGTGTTAAATACACGTGATGCTGTGTTCGTCTTGCCATTTAACGGAACACATGCTGGTAAAATGCCATCCTCTGAATTCCACGGCTTGGAGTCAGGAAATGAGTGTTGAAAGGATCAGGACCCTTTGAGTCACTCACTCTCTGCTTAGAATCACCTCCTTATCGCCCCTAGTAAGACATGGCCGCTGACTCGGGCTCCCCGGACCGTTCTGGATATTCTCAGAGGGGAGGCGGGGATGAAAGGTGAAGTGTTCTCACTATCTGGTGTTTGCAGAGTTCCACATTTCTTTAGTAAACCTAAAAATAATTTTTTTAAAGATTTTATTTATTTATTTGACAGAGAGAGAGAGAGATCACAAGTAGGCAGAGAGGCAGGCAGAGAGAGAGGGGGAAGCAGGCTCCCCACCGAGCAGAGAGCCCGATGCGGGGCTCGATCCCAGGACCCTGAGATCATGACCTGAGCCGAAGGCAGAGGTTTAACCCACTGAGCCACCCAGGTGCCCCTAATTTTTATTTTTAATTTATTTAAAAATTACTTTGAAAATTATTTAAATTATTAAAAATTAAAAATAAAATTTTTTAAAAGATTTTATTTATTTGTCAGAGAGAGAGGGAGAGAGAGCAAGCACAGGCAGACAGAATGGCAGGCAGAGGCAGAGGGAGAAGCAGGCTCCCTGCCGAGCAAGGAGCCCAATGCGGGACTTGATCCCAGGACGCTGGGATCATGACCTGAGCCGAAGGCAGCTGCTTAACCAACTGAGCCACCCAGGCGTCCCAAATTAAAAATAATTTTTTAAAATAATTTTTTAAAAATTTCCTTATAAAGCCCCCAAATTCCTCTAAGTATGGTACCCCAAATTATTTGATTCAATTCCATAAACATCTCTGGAGTGTTGTCACATTTAGAATTGAATCCAATGTGCTTCTGAATGAAGTACAGAACCTTCTGGTAAGAAGGTGAGTCCTGAGCTGGGAGCTTCAGAATCCCGGGAGAACCCAGAGAGAAGGGAGGAGACGGACAGAGTCCACTGTACTGTGAGCGGCGAGTGTGGAGGGTGTCAGCTACGATGTCCCAGAGCCTTTACTTTCATCCCGAGCTGTGGCCAAAACTGCCACCGGCCAGGAGAGACACCTGCGGGCCGAGGAGACAGCTCCACTCCTCTGGGACCGGGAATGGCCATGGGCAAGGCCTTGCTGCTTCAGCCACCCATGGCCACCTTCAAATCAAGAATGCCACTCTCCCAACTTCACCCAGCCTTGTGTGAGCTCAGCCCCTAGCCAACTACAGGCACCAGGCTCAGGAATTCACAACACAGAGGCAGCTGCCTTCCAAAATCATGAGAGCAGAGTATGATCTGTACAGGATCTGTAAACAGCAGGCTTGGCCCTGGGGCAGACTGGGTTTTCCTCCTGGCTCTGCCCCATACAAGCTAGTGGCTTGTTTCCAGGTCTGTAACATGGGATGCACATGGTGTCACAGGAGACCAGTGAAGGTCAACGGAAGCCACAGGTGCAGAGGACCTGATGGTCTCCACCAGAGAACCTACTTGTCTCCCACCTCTCCAGCCCTGGTCATGAGAGAGGGTGGGAGGGAGACTTCTTCTGGGACAGATGCACCCGAACTCAATTCTGAAAGCCTAATTGCAGTGTGCTTAGCAGATAAGGAGAGAGGGGGCAGTTCCATTGCAGGGAATAAGCCTTGCGAAGGGCCAGAGTTACAAAGCAGCGTGGTGTGTTCAGAGAACGGGATATGGTTCAGGGTCGTGGAAAGTGAGCGGAAGAACCTGTGTGTGACCTATCAGGCTGCCCTATGAAAAAATGCCGTGTCTCTGCCAGAGAAAAATGCTTCTACCCTGCAAGGGCCAGAACAACCTTCCCCAGGTGGGAGAGGGAGGGGGGAGGCAGCCCGGTGTCCCCTGGGAATCCTCATCTCCAAGCTCTGCCCGCAGCTCCCAGTCCACCAGATCATGTGCCCCATCCTCTCTCCCACTGGCTCCCCACTACAGTGTTTTCTACAAAACTCTCCTGCATTGATGAAATCGAGTTCAAATCGAATTAAAATCTATACAATTTTGCCCCTGCATGTTCTGACAGCTGTTCCAATCAGGAGTTGCAAGACATTTTGAACAATGGCATAATCATCGAATCGGGCGTAGAGCCTATCAGTTTTGGAGGGGCACGTTATTTGGGGCTGTTTTCCTGAAGCTTGGGGTAGGAGTGGCCTCCCGCAGAGCTGACAGCTTCTGCGTTGCAGTGTCAAGTGTCCGGAAGGCCGGGAAGCAGAGCGAGGTGCCCAGGACCCCGGAGGGCCTCCGCGACCATAGGGGAGGTCTTGGGTTTACGATGTAACTTGTGGTGCCCGAGTCACCCCGCTCGTCATAGGAGGTAGTTGACACTAAGGCAGGGTGTGCACTGTGTGGTTGTTCCAGAGCGGCTGCTCGTCGTCCTTTCTGGTGATGTGCGTTAGCCCTGCGGGTCCCGCTCTCTTACAGAAACCGCAGAATTCAGAGCCGGGGCTCCGCCGGCTCCCAGCACCGCGGGGAATCTGCGAGTTCCTTTGGCATGTCTGTACCTCCTAAAGCCCGAGAAGAATTAATTTAGCCTTCAAACACCAGTGAACTTAAAGGACAAACTACAGGTCTACAAGCTAATTAAAAACTGCCGTCGTGAGAGCATCGGTGAAATCGTCAACGACGTCCTACTGAGGTGGCTGCACTTGAACCCGTGGAAGTGGTTTGTCCGCGTGAAGTCGGTGTTCAAAGTCCCTTTTCTCTGAACACGATGGGTGCTGCCAGCATGAGGACAGGCACGTCTCTGCCCCCGAATGCGCAGCATACAAAACCCACAGGTATCGCATTTTAAAATAAACTGAAAAATACAAAAGCAAGTTAAGAAGTCTCCTTATCGTTGACGGGCCCTTTCCCGTTGCGAAGACTCTGGATCCGCGTCTGCAGACCCTGTGCGTCCCTACGCCTGTGCCCGGAGCTCCCAGTCCCGCGAGGAACATCTGAGAGGCCGGTGCTTAGAATCCCTCCAGCTCGTATCATGGCTCTCAGGCAAAAACAAAACCCGTCCACTCCAGTCAGAGAAACTGTTGCAGGAGTCTCAGAGGTCATGCCCGAGGGCTGGGTTTTCTCCTGCACGTTCGTTCTTGTTTTTAAGGAGCTCGAAGTCTCTGCCCCATTAGCAAGACAGCCCGAGCTAGAACTGCGCTCCTGGGCGGTGAGCTGGGCGCTGCCACGCCTCGGGGCAGTCCGCCTGTCGCTGCGCAAACCTCTTGACCTCTGGATGACTCAGAAGATCCACACTGCAATCACGGCGGGAGCACCAGAGGAACAGAGACGTTCCCCGCTGTAAAATCTTTCTGGATGCAGCAGTCCCACTGGGGCCGCGGGTTTCTACCACAGCAAAGAAAGCTAAGCCTGTCCTGTGAAAAAGCAATCTGTACTGGAGGCAGCTAAATTAAATTATGTCAAGACCTACAGAGCCAAAAGGGAGTTCACCCTTCTGAACAATGGAGCACGTGGGAATATTCCGGGGATGCTTTGAAAAGGATACACTATGGGAGGATGAAGAATACCCAGTAGGTACTTGGAGTTTTCAGTATTGAGGAAGCCACCTGTTGTCACAGAGTCTCTGCTGTCCCACTGCTCAGGGTCCCAGAGAGGTCCCAGAGAGGGTCCTACTCTGCAGGACGCACTAAGTGCGTGAATCGGGAAAAGTTACTCTACGTCTCTGGGGCTCAGTTTTGCCATCTGTGAAGTGAGGCGAGTCCAAGCAGATCCCTCGCACAGGGGATGAAATGAACTAATACACAGAAAGCCCCGGGGCCTGCCCAGAGCAAGCCCAGCAGGGACCCACAGCAACACCTCTCTGCTGCTGTGTGCAGTGCTCTGCCCACAGAGCAGGAGCCAGGCTCAGTGATGCTCCCCAGCCTGGGATAGCCCCCGACACAGCTCATGGGGAAAGGAGGGCTCTAGAAACCTCACAGGGGAGCTGAAGAGGGCTTACAGATGTCTTGATTATGAGATGTGCTGAAAAACCAGAGCAGAGGAGCACAGCAGTCTGACTCAAAAACTCCAAAGCTAGAGGACCCAGGGCTCAACTCCTTGGAACAACTCCAGTTGGCTCTTCCAACTCTCCCCTCTCCCAGCGCCAAGAAGTGTGCTGAGCTCCCTGGGCAGGAGGGGGGCCGCCTGGGGGTGCCAGCAGGCCGACTCCCAGCTTCTGGAGCTCTGCACCTTCGTCTCCAGACTCGCCCACCGGCCAGCCGGGGCACCTGCCACACTGCAGGCCTGGGACACCAGCAAGAGGGCAGGACTTCCCTGGCTCTGGCAGGAAGGGAGAGGGGTCCCTCTGGCTCAGCAGCAGTGCACCCCTTCTGTGCTTGGTATTCAGACGGAAAGCTAATGAGGGTCTGGAGAGCAGTCAGAAAAATAACGGCCAGTTTTCTTGTTAAGGACAAAAGCCAGGCAGAATGAATTGAAAGTGCCTAGACGCCTGGAGACAGAGGGCCGATTCAGCGTGATTCCTGGGCGGCCACAATGCCAGGCTCTGCAGGCAGCCAGAGTCTGGGTGGCTGAGACGGTGGCGCCTTTCAAACCCTGTTCTAGTTCAGAGTGTCCTGGGGCCCAGGGAGCCAGGGTGCTGGGCGGGGCTGACACCCACAAATCGCGAATGGAGAAGGTAGACAGGGACGAGGCAAGGAGAGAGGGAGAGCGAGCCAAGCCCTGAGCATGGGTGAGAAAAAAATTGCCTCGAACAGGGTGCCCAGGTGACGTTCCCTGAAAAATCATTTCGCTGGGACGACGTCAGATGAACTTCAGGAAGACAGACAGAGAAAGTATTTCTGATTGTTCCTTGGGCAGGAGGTGAGACCAGCAGCCTTCAGAAGCAGAGCCCGTATCTCCAGCTTCATGTCAGACTAAACCAACCCCAGCTGGCTGCCATTAAGGATATATCGGTAGAGCCTCTAACCAGAATTGGTTTTAATTTATGAGCTGGAATGCTGGAGAAGTTATGATTAGCAATTACCTAAATTATATTGGGCCATATAATTTCCATTAGTTTTTTTCCCACTTAACCAAAGATAAATAATTGAAAACAGCATTTTCATTTTAATGTAAAAGATTATTGTATTATTTTTGTAAACAGGTGTTCCACTCTGGAATGGGGGAATTCTTTATGTTCATTTAAGTAGTCAATCAGTCTCCTAAAAACAGAGTCTGTGAAAAAAGAAGAGTCTGTGAAAAAAGCCTTGTGAAAGGAATTTTTATACGGGTTACTGAGAAAGCTGATGAGTTGTTGCAAGTTAAAGAAAACTTGCTAGAAGGTCAGTGTAACGGTCCATTATGGTGGATAATGGTGACTGACAGACACGATGGAGGGAATCAGTGATGAGGGTTCCACCTGCACCATGAGCAATAAACGATCAGACTCAGAGAATATGATTTCTTTGAGTTTGTATATTTCACTCACTTCTTTAGTTTTTCCAATTTCTTAGGCTACAAAATTTTGAAAACTTTCAGTCTCAAATCCCCCACCCATATGTAAGCAATTGGACTGTAAACTTCCCATGCGTTTTTGGAAGATTTCTTAGAAAATAGATCATCTTTCATGAGAAATGCTTAGATAGATGGTCACTGTTTTAGGAAGTGAACAATAGCTTAAAAAACCAAAGGGGCAGCCTTTGCCCGCTGTCCACACCTTTTCAGCTTTCCTTCCGGGACCTCTCCCTTTTTCCAAGTCTTCCTAACGCCCATAATCTTCCGGACCAAACGGAGAGACTGAGGAGCAGCCAACGTTTGGAAGTGATGGATAAGCATCTGGGGCCCGGTGCACACCACAGCGGCCTGCCCAGCCAGCTAGGACAGCTCAGCCCCACGCTTGTGAGGACACCGCTGTCTGGACCCCACGAGGGGGTCTGCCGGGGTCTGATCGCCTGGGCGCAGGGGGCCCGGGTCTCACAAACCGCGCCCAGGAGAGCCACGGCTTTTTGGGGCGCAGGGAGACAGGGGCCCTACCAGCGCTCTGCGTTGGGCTCCGCTAGAGGCACCCAGGTTGGAATCACACAGCAGCCGCCGAGCGAGAGAACCCGAGAAGCAGAGGCGTGGTCCCCACTGGCCCCGAGCCTCGCCACCCGCCCGCGCCCTCGCTGGCACCGAGGGGCTGTGGGGAGATCCGGAGCGGATCTGCGAACTTTCCGAGCGCGGGCTCAGGGGCGGCAGGAGAGCAGTTGGGCAGGAGCACTATCTTGGGACAAAGGACCAATTTTGGCGAACAGGGAGAGACACCTCCGCGCGCCCGCAGACTCTCGGGCAGAGACGGGTCGTACGCACCGGGCCTTCCACTCACCGTGTCGGGACAGCCCCTCCCCCCAATCCCCGGGGTCCACGACCGCGCCCGACTGCCCCGCTCCCGGGTCCCGAAGAGGGTGTCCCGCCCCAGGCCCCCGGGGAGCGCGGCCGCGGGACCTACCAGCGCGGCCAGGATGCGCCGGCTCTTCTCATCCGTGCAGCGCTCGGAGAGGACGCCCGGGTGCGCGCGGAGCAGCAGTGCGGCCGCCAGCACCCAGCCCGCGGTCCACGCCGCGCAGACCAGCAGCGCGCACCGCCCGCACCGCCCGCGCCGCCCGCACCGCCCGCACCGCCCGGGCCGGCTCCGCGCCATGACCCGCCGCCCGCGCCCCGCGCTCCCGGGGCGGCTCTGCGGCTCGGCCGGGCCCGGCGGGGGAGGGGGCGCGGGGGAGAGGCCGCGCGAGGGGAGGGGGAGGCCCGGCCGCCAGGCTGCCCGCGCCCGGCCCGTCTTGGGGGTGGGGTGGGGTGGGGTGGGGTGGAGTGTCCGCGGGCCACAGCCTGCGCGCCCTCTGGGGCGCCGGGGGAAGGGTGGTCCGCTCGCGGCTCCGGGGTCCGCGCGCTGCTCGCCCTGCTCTGCCCACCGCACCCCGACACCTTTCCACTTCTTTTTTTTTTTGCACCTTTTTTGCAAGAAGACCAGTTCCCCTTTTAAACAGAATTCGCAGAACCCGCGTAGATTCATCCCCTGGTTCCGACTCCTGGTTCCTCTGCGGACACATCTTTAATGCAGACAAGATCTACCCCGTGCTCTGGCGGCCGCTCAGTGCCCACACACTCTTTTTACAGAGCAGCCCCCACCGCCACCCCGGGCCAGAGCCCTGGTTGCTCTCCTCTGCAGCTGCATCCCGGCACTCCGCATTTACCCCTCTGCTGGAGTCCTCCCTTTCTCCCCTGCAAGTTGGGTTTCCTCCGGGCTCTTCCCGGGGGGTGAGACACACGAGCGGGCCTAGAGCCAAGGGCTGGGACGGTCCGGACAGGGACCTTAGCGATCCCTGCCCTCCTTTCCCAGGCAGCGTCCCGCATCCCACCGCTGTGGTCCAGGGTGCCAAAAAACGCTGGGGCGTCCTTTACCGGGACAGAGAGTGCCACACTCTTTAAACGTTTCCACTTAGCCCTGGTTAGGAGAAAGCAGGCGTTCACTCAATGTGTCTAAATTGTATTTCTGTATATTTGTAACATCATCTGGAGGGCATGCTTCCTTGTTCCAATTCCAGTCCTTACATAAAATAGGCGGGCGCCTCCACCAACAGAGCGGTCTCCCGTTCTTGCCAGCCCTCTCCACCCCACCCGGAGCTGCTCCTCCATTGCCTGAAAGCCTTTCTCCCCCAGGGAGAGAGTCCAGGGTGGGTGGTGTCCTAGGAGGTGAACTGTCACAGGGGCAGGCCTCTGAAAGCTGCCCCCCCCCCCCGCCCCGTGGCTCACGCATTCCCTTTAAAAAGCTTGTTCCAAGCCTATTCCGTGCCAGCCCAAAGCCATGGCCCTCCTGCCTGCTCTCTGTCTGAATTTCCATTCCTGAGTGTAGGAATCACAGAACTACTCCGGCCCAATCAAGCATTCTGTGATTATCCTTAGCAAACTGGCTTCTTAACCTTGCCTATTCTGCAGCTCACGGTTGAACCTTCATGGCTGGGTGGGAGAAGCCTCTAGGAATTGGGAAACATCAAATTAACAAACACTGAAGGAGCCTGTGGGGACAGGGCCTGTATTCCCTGATGCAGCAGACACTCGGACCGGGTCCCTCTGTCCACAGCAGTGATGGCTGCTGCGGCGCCTTCTGAATGACCAGTTCTCCCACTTCCCAGGGCACCCCCGAGCAGAAGCACTACGGGGAGCATTTTGGTAAGCTGGCCCTGTCGGAACTTGGTTGTCTCATTTCAAAATGGTTGTGGAGCCCAGAGAGCATCCACGGGTTTTGCTTGAAAATCTTGATGGTGTAAAGTTGATCCCTATTCCCATGATTTTGGGGGTCTGGGACAGGAATAGGAAGAAGAATGAGGTAAAGACGTGTGAACACTTACCCTGTACAACCTAGGAATAAAAATCACAGACCTTGAAGTCAGAGTTAACAATATTAGGATTTGCAAGTCAGAGTTTACTTTCCTAAGCTTTAAAAAAATGCCAATCACACTTCTTTTGGCATTTTATAAAGAAAAAAACAGAAGAAAATTATAACCCCCCCCCAATAAAGAGATCCTTTAAATATTCAGCATTGTTTGGACACAGATGTTACAGTGCTCTCTAGACCAAAATAAAGTCCTCAGAAGGCAGAACCTTGCAGGCTGCTGTCCCGCTGCGCGGTTTGCGCACTGCGCAAAGCCAAGTGACGAGGTGGATGGGGCTGAGGCCCACCAGAGCTCCACTCACCAAACCCTTTTTCCCAGGGGGCCCCATGGAGGGGTGCCTTTTTGAATTCCCTGTCCCATGGGGGCATCTTTGGGTATTCACACAAAGGTGACTTACAGGCCAGCTATGACCTGGATACTAAAGATCGTCCCCCGGAGCTACAAACACACAAACAAACAAACAAATGTGTAATTGCATGAGCAGCAGAACATGAAGCTTTGGCTTCACAAACAAAGAAAATCAAGTTAGGTCTCACCTCCCAGAGAGCCGCGGCTGCGTGTTGGTGGCTCCGCAGGGCTCTGCAACCGCGCCGCACCATTCACAATGACTGGCAGCCTTCTGGGGGCCAGGAGGAAGGGGGTGGGTGGAGCTGGGGAGTGGCTTGGCCCAGTGCCTGCTTCACATCAGGTTGATTTCAATAGGCTTTGACTCCCTAAAAAAAAAAATTGTACGAGACCCAAGAACTACTTCCTCCTACTCCCTTACCCAAACGTTGGAAACGAGTCATAATATTAGAAGTGGCTGGGCCCAGAGATCCCTTCAGCCAAGCTGAGTTCATGCAGAAATTCACAGGGGAGTTTTCCTCTGTCTTGAAGGAGATGAAAATTTTGCTCTGCACCCCACCGCCTCCGCCAAAGCAAAAGTCCTCAAGCCGAGGGGAGGCCCCCGTGTTCTAGAGTCCAGGACCCATGCTCCGGGCCCCAGCATCAGGCACACAGAGCTGAGGAAATACACTATGTGATCAGGGTTTGTTTGTTTTAATTAAGCACTTAGACTAGACTGGGCCATTCAGTTATTTCTTCTGTTAGACTACAGGCCACTTGAGGGGAAGCACGGTCTTATTTTATGCGGTAATCCCAGCCCCTGATCGGGGTACCTGATACAAAGGGTTATCTGCTGAAGAAGTGAGTGAAAGGTCAGAAAACGTTGAGCCCCCTTTGGAATTTTTCTTGAGAAAGAGCTTTTAACACATAAATATTTCTTTCTGATTTCCCCGAGGCTAAATTGAGCAACCCAGACACATCACAGGGCTAGGAATATGTTTGAACATATCTTCTGGGTTCTGAACTCGTCTACTGGCAGTTGAACTTGTCACTGAGAAAAGAGCATGAACACTTCACTTATAGGCCATGACAGGGAAGAGAAAGGTAAAATGCTGTGTTTCCTGACTTTGATTATACAAGATAAACAGGTTTCTTAGCGTAGGATTCTGCTACATTTGCACATACATTGAGCTTGTAAAAATATTCTTCTTTCTCAAAGGACTTGGATAATGACAAATATGCCTGTTTTTAATACACTGCTTGACATATTCACATGCATTCGCTTGTACGATGCTCCAAGCAGCCTGGCAGGTGAATGGAGTGAAGGTCACTATCTAATACTTCACAGGAAAGGGCATGAGCTCTTTCACGGGCTCTCTTAGTGCTGGGCGCATGTTAGAGGCTTCTAGACTTGATCTTCTGATTCCTGTTTCGATATCGGAATAGCCACTCTACAAGTGAGAGTGTAAAATTTCTCTGTGTATCACCATTACTTGTTGACATGTCATGCCGCTGGCCAAGAAAGTTTCAAACGTTTGTCATCTTCAACAGTCATTAGCAAAAGTTATCCCTGGAACAAGATTTCCTATGATCTGTTTCCCATCCCAGCAGTGGTTGCCATGTTGGCCCCATGGCGAACTACAGAAAAGGCAACGCCACCTTGCAGAAAGTGGCGTGTTCCAGTCACTTGTGAACTGTTGTCGGGTGAGAGAAGGTCAGCCTGAAGAAAAGAGTGGATCGTCAAACTTCCCACCCCACTCAAGGAGACTCTCTCTTCCAACACATTGGCACTTCAGACGGGTTAACTACACCATCATTTGGACTTGACCATATCCGTGTTCTTATCCTGCTCTTGTCTGAAGCGATCGGCCCTACTTTACAAATGTGAGCTGGGTTTGGGGAGGAAGGAGAAGCGATCCCGTGTCTGGGCCAGCCTGGGTCGGGGATCAGGGTTTAAGTCTCTCTGGGAATCCTCTGCAGCCAGAGGTCAGCGCCCCAGGACGTGGGGGACAGAAGTTAGGACAGTAAAAAGAAGGCACGGCTTCGTGTGCAGTCTTGCCTCGCGTCCTCGTCTGGTTTACGAAGCTCAGCACTCATTTACCCTGACTTGAGAGAATCCAACATTCTGGAAGGAGCTGAGCAAAGTGGAGGCTTCAGGATGTCCCTTACAACACACGTGAGAACAGCAACCAGTTGGATGTAAACCGCTGTGTATAGTAGGGATTGTTTACGTACACCTCCATCTCCCCTAAGTGGACGATGTGTGCCGCCATCGGAAACTGGGATGTGAAGTCTGTTTGATCAGAGAGCGGTCACAGGAGAATTTGTCATTTTCCCTCCCCTGTCATCACTCACTCCATGTCTCCTCGGGGGAATCACGCCCTCTCCCACTCAGTCCCTGGGCTTGATCTCCACTGACAGTTGGGGGAGGGGAGTGGGCTTGAGACAGAGCCTGCTGATGAGGGCAGCACATTCCCCAGCCAGCCGGCAGGAGCCCCAACAGGCCACTGAGAGCCAAGGGGATGCAGTCCTTGTTGGAACTGGTGGGAGAGAGGGGGCTCCTTTCCCTGGAGATGCAGGCACCAGGGACCACGGCAGAAAGAATCTGTGGGAGAATAAGGCCAGCATCCAGGAAGGATGGTGGAGGGCTGCCTTTGAGCACCTGCCTTTCAGTTTCCCAGTCCATAAATTTCCCAGTCCATAAGATCTGCAGGGCGGGTTGGTTTTCTGTCATTTGCAATGGAAAGAGCCTGAACCAGTACAGACACTCACAATACATCTGAGTGAAGAAGCAAGTTTCAGAACATTACATCCCATCCAAGGCTTTCTTTTTTTAAATGCATATCATATATTTTTGCATGTCCACCAAAACTTATGGAAAGAGACATCAAATCATTTACAGTGTTATCTCCAGGATGGAGGAAGG